AGTTGCGGCGTCAATGGGCACCCAATAGTACAATTGGAAGGATTACTCAACCAAACAATATTCAAATAATAAATTTTCCAAATTAGTTGCTCAGCTCCTTTGGATGGATTCTGAACGAGCCACGTAACGGTAGAAACTAAATTTCCCAAAAAAATAGACTGAAGATTGTCGTTTCTAGAAGGTTCGATGACGATAAAATCATGAATTGATGCTTTGTTTTGTTGAGATCAGATGTCAGACCATTAATAGCGACGATTGACTAGCAGAAAGCAAAGTTTCGATTAGATATTGTGCTTCTATCTTACTTACAGTAGAATTTATTACTATTGCTGTGTGAAAACCAAAAAGAAAAGAGGAAAACAAAGGAATTTCATTTTCCTCCGTTCATATTGGGCGTAATAATATGTAGGGAATTGCAGGTTAATTATGTGTTTTTAATATGAATTAATTAGCTATGTAATATTTATTATATATATTTAATTGTAATACTAGTAATATAACTGTGTAATTATTTTTTATATCTTTCAGCATATAAAACTTAAAATCTTTGAATATAGTACGCTACAGTTTTTTATGCTTGTTGTTTATGTATACCGTGGTTAGAAAACGCTAAATTTACTTCTCTTAAAGGGAATATGCTGCTGTAATTAGTGATGACATGAGATGTTCTCCGATAAAATAAGGCTTATGCTTTGCTAAATTTTTTTCTTAATAATCAATTTAATTAAAGATAAAACGTCGAAATACAAGACTGATTGAGTGATAAAGAGGAAAAAATGTCCAGATTTTAGACCGTGTTTATGAATCTGTTCCATTGACCATTTTAAACTACCAGTTGAAGTTCATTTTGAACAAGACACAAGTAAACGAAATAGTTAGCTGAACGATATTGCTACATCAAGAACTGGATAGATACATGCATATATATGGTTTTCTGTTTATATCTCAGTTCAACCACGACTGGTTCTTCCTAAGGACATGTCTTACGTATTTAGATTATGATATTCTTCGAGGTTGAAAATATATAATAAATGTTAATTTAGACGAGCTGGTCAAACATTTCAACGTACTTATTATCAGAGCACAAAGATATCTAAAATGAGAATCAAACAGTGCATGTATTGAAACTTGATTTGATAGTTTTCTTCACGCAACTCCTTAATTTTCCGTTTGCACCTTTAATATTTGTATATAAAGTCCGCATTAAATTTGTTGCTCTCCTCTTATACCTTGAGATGTTTCTCAATTTTCTTTATGTGCTACATGTTGTTAATACTTTCTAGTGTCATGTAAAGGTAGGTTGTGAGTCATAGTCTATAAATCCAATCTGATTCATACTGGTGACTTTGACTCCAACCAGTTACTTCATTTTTTACAGTAATCTTAACTTAAGGTGGCCGAAAATGTAATTACCTATCACTTTGGAAATTTAAAACTTTGAGTTATATACAAAACAACTCACATAGATTTTAATTAAAGCCACTGACTGATAAATATCGCAACCATTCACTTATTTTTCTTTGTAAGTGATCACGCCCAACTATGCCTTATAAAAAGGACTAAGCGATCGTTGCAAATATAATTTGGTTTACAAGTCCGGAGTCGAATCCCACAGAGAACTAAGGCTTAGCTACAGCTGTTCAATATCGCTAAGAAATACAAGTCCAAACAATTTCCTAATTATAAAGATTATAATATTTATTTTTATCTAATTAACTAACAAATACTAGAAAGCAGTAAAACTATCAATTAACAAGGATAAAGATTGGAGACAAGATTAAGGAGGTCCAGAGTTATGATTTCCCCTTTGTCAGAATCCTTTCCGCTACGTTTTCTATAAATTTGCCTAAGTTTTCTCTACCGATCATGAGCACTCTGACTGTCGTAACTCTCTCCCGAGTAATTACCACAATTTGCTAGACATATTTTCCCGAATTATGCTAGTTGGCATTAAGTACGGCTCACTCGGATCGCACCAAGGTTTCGTTATCCCTAATCCCACCTTTAAACCCTCCTTATTGATCCCTCATATACGTTAGGAGAGATGTTGTTCAACAACTACCTAAATATGCACTCTCTCCCGAGTAATACACACTAAATAGGTACAGTCAATTGAGAGCTCTTCAACCAACCACAATATAAACGTAGTTGAACAAATAGAGAAAAGCTACGACAAATCTATATTAACGTATCAGAAAAATCATCCTCCAATAGGTTCCATCAAAGCCCTAGATAACAAATTAGCTATTCATAATAGCATGCATAACTACAATACTAGAATTCATAACCAATAATGAAAATAGGAAGAAAAAAGTGAAAAACTCATAGAAGAATTCTCCGCCTTGCTCCTAGTGTGTTCTTGCCTCCTTAGGTCGAATCCCCGGTCTCCTTAGCCTCCTTAGGTCCAAAGTGTGTCAAAAAGTCCTCAAAATACCGTTTTCCCATGTATATATACCAAGTAGGGTCGGGACCAAATAATTATACCTTCTCCTACGCGAAAAAGGACAATTTTCCCGGACAGACGTGCGCGGTCGCGGATCAACCGCGGATTGACCGCGCATTTTGACAGTGTTCTGCTTGACATGCGCGGCCAGTGCGCGGCCGCGCACTTTTCACCCTGTTCTGTTCGGAACTCGAAAAGGCGTAAAACATGAAAGTTGTAGCCCTTTGAATTAGCTTTCCAATCATATATTTTGGAGCCCAAATGGAGTTCTGAGCGAAAAGTTATGTGTATTTTACTAGACAGTGCGCAATATGCCTACTTGATTCTTCGTTTCGTTGCTCTATCATCCGTTGATCCCGGACACGATCCCGGCTTAATTCCTTGGGCTTTTACTCAGACTTCAAAGCTCCAAATCACTTGAATTCATTCCATAACATCTACATCTCTCGGAATCACTCCTACAAGGCATAAAACACACAATTAATGCAAAACACTAACAATTAAAGCTTAGGTTCAGTCGAAGAGATCGAAGCGAAGTCATCAATTCAACCATTCGAATGGTCTCCCCTAAGATTGACCTCTTTTCCAAATAAACCGAACTTCGATATAAACTCAACTGAAGTGCGGTGAATTGGAATGTAATAATCGACTAAAATACGTAAACATAGCCTATCAATAAGCTTACTTAAGTTGGCAGGCAATTTATGTACTTACTACTTGAAATTTTTAAGACTTTTGATCCATGTCGAAAGCAACTGAGATAGATGGCAAAGCCTCTGACAAATAAATATCAAAAGTACATCTTCCCAAAGAGGCGTAATTCTCCAAATTTCCTATCTTATCCCATTTCCTCCATCTTGATAGACGCAGGCCATCACGATATTCTAATATGGAAAATAACAATCACTTGGGTAGAAAAATTGTATATTATTTTTATCGAATTACCTCTGTTGGTTAGTTTGCATTATAACTTTTAAAATTTTCTTTTTCAGAAAACATTAATGTCTAAAATGCATGTCATTTTCTTCCACTCTGGAGCTAAAAAGACTTCTAATAATAATTGTCCATCTTTAGTTTGGGGCAACACTTTACCAGACAAGGAAATCAAACCTTCATGTATGTTATTTGAAGCAATCAAAGAAAACAAAAGCCCAATAATTGTACAATAAAGCCAATATCGGAGAAAAATGCAATAATTAATGACAATGAATTTGGAAAAAAGCGTCCAGCTAATTAATTCTGCCTTGGGTACTAAGAGTAATGAATGAAGTTTGGAATAAACGAAATGCCTTACAACAACATAAATTATTAGCAAAAAGAAACATAAATAATTTCAACCTTCAGATATACAATTATCATTGATAACTTAAAACTAGTAATGGTGAGGTGATGCTTTTCGATGGTTATAGGATCGACATAACAAAAGAGTCCAAGATTCATGAATCAAGTTTTGTATAAAAACCTTTTACCTTTTCTTTTTCCTTCTACAAGTAGCTTTAAATCCATAATTAATGACACGTGCGGAATTGATATTTTTCTTTATACAACTTTTTGCTATCTTTATATAACACGTGCGGTATTATACGGAATATTATGTCAATCAATGATGTAGTGTAGCTTAATATTTTAAAAAATTGACGTTTGCGCGAAAAGGAAAATTAATAAAAGATACTGGAATTTGTGTAAAATTAGGAAACTATATAGATATATTCTTTACAAAACAGATTACTAGTGTACGTCCTATTGGGAAATTCGATAATATTTCTTTGACTATTCTAAATACAGAACCATTATTTACAATTTTACATAGTTTAATCATTAATGTAAAGTTTAGCCCTTATTTGGCCTTCCGCAGGGAACTCTTACCCTTCTGACAAATTAATTCTCTACGATGGATTTTGCGGCCACCACTTTGCTCTATTCTATTTTTGCACATGTGGACAAAAATTGGATTCAACTTATTCATACGTACGCTACCAAAAAAGTCTACACCATTTGTATTTTTTAATTAATAATAATATAGAAAGTTACTTACATTATGAACCGTGTAAATTCTTTTAGATTGCCATTGTATAAACGTAAACTTATAAAAACTTGGGTTTAATTCATATTCATTTCTAACGTAATGACACTTCTCCAATTTAATATACTAGTTTTACTAATCACATACAAACTGTTGAGACAATAATGTACTCTCTCCGTTCCAACTTATGTAAAAGTGTTTGACTAGGTGGGAGTTTAAAAAAAACTTCAAGATTTGTGGTATAAAATAAACTATAGAAATTTATGTTGCTAGAAACCATTCCATTAAGGATAAAAGTAAAAATTTAAAGTTAAATTGTTACTAACTATAAAAAAAAGTATCATTTTTTTGGACTAACTAAAAAATACCACATAAAGTGAGACTGAAATGAATAATCAATTAGTATGTTTTTTACTATGGGTTACGGTTTTAAATAAGATAGTTCACACACATCAATGTAACAACAGTATATTTACGCCAACTCGATACCGACAGGAACTAGTTTTACCAGATAAATTTGTATATAAAGACCCCATCATATCCACCCAAAAACAGATAAGAATCATTTTGAGTTGCAAATTCATCATACAACACGCTTACTATCCCCTATATCCTATGCTCTCCACCACTATCTCCTAAATCTCCACTCAAAAAACAAAGAAGAGAAAGATTTAAACTAATAATGACAGAGATGGTGCAAAACAATATGAGCACTTCTCTTCTTGAAACTTTACAAGCTACGCCCATGATATTCTACTTCATCGTCCCTCTCTTCTTCTTATTCCTTCTCTCCAAATCTCGCCGTAAACGTTTGCCTCCAGGTCCAACTGGTTGGCCTCTGATTGGTAACATGATGATGATGGACCAGTTAACTCACCGTGGCCTTGCCAAACTAGCCCAAAAATATGGTGGTGTTTTTCACCTTAAAATGGGTTATGTTCACAAAATTGTAGTCTCTGGTCCAGACGAAGCTCGCCAAGTATTACAGGTACGGTCAGTAGCGAAGCCTGAAATTTTTCTAGGGATGTTTAGACTTGAAAGAACTAAAAAAAAAAAATCGACAAAAGGTGTTCTTACGTACATCTAAAGTTAATATTTTACTCATATATTTATATAGTGTAGTTTTTCTTAATATTTCGACATAAGATGGTCAATTGACCAGGTATAGCAAAAGATTGCTTCGCCCCTGCGTACGGTTTGAAATGTGTGACCATCTTATCTAAAAACTTAAGATTTAACTTATTTACACTGATAATGTAAATAAATTTTACACAATTTGTATATTAATATATATAATATGTTGTAGAAAGTTATCTTAATATAACTAATTCCACTTATTATAACGAGTTACCTATGCATATCTTTTTAGATGATATGTAAATGTAAGAAATATTTCACACTGTAGTGTATAAAATATACTCATTAGTACTTAATTAATTACATTATGTTTCAACAGGAACACGACATCATATTTTCGAACCGTCCAGCGACCGCAGCCATAAGTTACCTAACATATGACCGTGCAGACATGGCGTTTGCTGACTATGGACTCTTCTGGCGGCAGATGAGAAAATTATGTGTTATGAAACTCTTCAGCCGCAAACGAGCTGAGTCATGGGACTCAGTTCGTGACGAAGTGGATTCCATGGTTAGAATTGTGACAACCAACACAGGCACAGCTGTTAACTTAGGTGAACTTGTTTTCAGTCTCACTCGTAATATTATCTACAGAGCTGCTTTTGGAACTTGTTCTGAAGATGGACAAGAAGAGTTCATTAAAATTATGCAAGAGTTTTCGAAGCTATTTGGTGCGTTCAATATAGCTGATTTTATTCCATGGCTAGGGTGGGTTGGTAAGCAGAGTCTAAATATTAGACTTGCTAAGGCTAGAGCGTCTCTTGATGGGTTCATTGATTCGATTATTGATGACCATATTATGAGAAAGAAAGCTTATGTTAATGGTAAAAATGATGATGGTGGTGATCGAGAAACTGATATGGTGGATGAGCTTTTAGCTTTTTACAGTGAGGAAGCAAAAGTAACTGAGTCCGAAGATTTGCAGAATGCTATCAGACTTACTAAGGATAATATCAAAGCTATCATCATGGTAAGTTCCAAAGAAATATCCCCTAATGCTTTCCCATATATATATATATATATATATATATATATATATATATATACTCCCTCTGTTCCAATTTTATATGAACCTGTTTGACTGGGCACGAAGGTTAAGAAAAAATGAAGACTTTTGAAATTTGTGATTCTAAACAAGTTAAAAATGGGGCCAGAGTATTTGTGTGGTTATAAAAACTTCTCATTAAGGGTAGAATTGGAAGTTTAAACTAAATTGTTTCTAAATTTAGAAAGGAGTCATTTTTTTTGGAGAGTATAAAAAAGGAAATATGTTTACATAAACTAAAACGGAGTATTTTTTTTTTATTAGTCACATATTCAAGAAAAGTGGCACAGTTAAAGAGAGTACTTAAAAAAAGATGACCTTGAAAATCTTGTCCAAATATAATATAGAGTTTCCTTAATTATATAGTGGTGGCGTAAGCCATGCAAAACAAGAAAGTTTAATTTAGGATTTGAATCATTTGCTAATAGCTAAAGAACACGGCTGTCTCTGGCAGCTGTTATATAACTATCAAGAATTATTGAAGCGTAAGTAGCACAAATGTTTTTCGTGAATTTTCCTCATATGTGTTAAGTTTATATTTTTAGTAGTAGTAGTACTATTTGTTTTAATCTGCTTTTGTAAAATGCAGGTTTTGGTAAATTTTTAAGTTGCTTTTATATGGTCGACAGCAGAAAGTAGATTGGTTTTTAGAATAAGAAGATTCCTTAAAGTCTGACAATCATCAGAAAATAGTACTAAGAAAAGAAAAAAATAAATGGATAACCTAAATAGTAAAAATTTGTTTCACTTTAACTTCCCTTCCTTTTTAATGTAATTTGGTTTCAGTGATCAGATTTCTATGATTTTAGCATCACCTGGTGAGACTTATTAAATTAATTTCCTCTTGAAACTTATTAGCATAAAAAAAGATCTCCTTTTCCAATGTAAAGTAATCATTCGTCTTTGTGATATCTCAATATCATGACATAAAATATGATTACGACTTTGTCAAGTCATATGATTGTTAATGTCCCAGCTGGTATAATCTATTACTAGTAAATTGTTTTCTAGAATTAAATACAAAGGAATTAATTCTGATGAACTTACCATTTACCGTTATTCTATCCAAGTCTTGATATAGCTTAGATGCTATTCAAAAATGGAATGTTGTAGGTAACAAAACTTGCAAGTACAATAACTGAAATATTTTATGTGAAAAAGTAGCTCTAAAAATGAAGTAATTACTAACAATAAAAAAAAATCATACTATGAAGCCAATGAATATAGGTAACGTGACAAAATTGATCTAATGTAGTAATCGATTCATTTGTGTACCTTAAATCCAATTACTCTATGATTAAAATTTCCAACTAGCCAATTAAAGCCTATCTACAAAATTTGGTGCCGCGCATTATCTCTTTGAAAATTGATGTTTCAATTTAACACGGTTGGTTACTAAGCTATCCCTGAAAATGATGTAATAGCTGTAGTTAATCACTTAATCTTACTCTTACCTAACCCCCACTACCCACATAAATAATTCCTAGTACAATGTAACAAAATTAGTTTATCTTGTTATAACAGGTTCATTTATTTTTCTTATGGTAACTATTCTTTCTGTTCAATTTTATTTGTCCACTATATTAAAAATATATTTTCATTTTTACTTGTCCATTATACTAAGAGCCCGTTTGGACATTAAAAAAAATCCTTTTTTTTTTTTTTTTGTGAAACAGAAAGCTTTTATTCACAAATAAACAGAAACTCTTTACAGATTATTGCCCCTGATTCCTTCTCTTCTTCCTCTATCTTTCTATATCTTTCCTATACTCTCCTATACTCATCTTTCATTGTTTCCTATACAATTGATCTATCCGCTCCCAATCCTTCCTACTACATTTTTTTTTAAAAAGAATTCACTTTTTTGCGAAATCAGTGTTTGTTCATAAAATTTCCAATTTTCACTTGAAGATGCATTTTAGAAATTTTTAAAATTTTGAAAAACTTCAAAAAGTTGTTTTTCAAAATTTTCACTCAAATTACTCACAAAACTACAAACCCCCACCCCTCCTCCCCCCACCCCCAAACTGATATGTCCAAACACAACTCTAAATTTCAAATACCATTTTAACTTGAATTTTTTTTCACCATTTTTTGGAATTTTACAATTTTTATGTCCAAACGCCTACTAAATCAAGAGAAAGACAATCTTTTTTCCTGTTTTACCCTTATCATTAATTACTCATTTCTCAAATTATATTTCAAGAACCTTTGAAAATACTATCATTATTATAGGTAAAATTGTAAAAATACATATTTGGTTTAGTGTTTCTTAAAGGGCGTTAAAAATTCAAAATGGAGGACTAAAAGTGAACGGAGGAGGGAGTAGTTCTGTTATTTTTTTAGGTGATCTAATTCTAAACAAATTCTTACAACGTGAGTGTATACAATTTAAACTTCCTTAACTCTATCAAAAAATTGCAGGATGTAATGTTTGGAGGGACAGAAACAGTGGCTTCTGCAATAGAATGGGCCATGGCAGAGCTTATGAGGAGTCCTGAAGACCTTAAAAAAGTACAACAAGAGCTGGCTAACGTTGTTGGACTCAACAGAAAAGTTGAAGAATCTGACTTTGAAAAATTAACATATTTAAAATGTTGTCTAAAAGAAACTCTACGTCTTCACCCTCCAATCCCTCTCCTCCTCCATGAGACCGCCGAGGAATCCACCGTCTCCGGCTACCATATTCCGGCAAAGTCACATGTTATTATAAATTCATTTGCCATTGGACGTGACAAAAATTCATGGGAAGATCCTGAAACTTATAAACCTTCTAGGTTTCTCAAAGAAGGTGTACCAGATTTTAAAGGAGGTAATTTTGAGTTTATACCATTTGGGTCGGGTCGGAGGTCTTGCCCCGGTATGCAACTTGGGCTTTATGCATTGGAAATGGCTGTGGCCCATCTACTTCATTGCTTTACGTGGGAATTGCCAGATGGTATGAAACCAAGTGAGCTTAAAATGGATGATATTTTTGGACTTACTGCTCCAAGAGCTAATCGACTCGTGGCTGTGCCTAGTCCACGTTTGTTGTGTCCACTTTATTAATTGAAGAAAAAAGATGGGGATTTTACTTGCATCAAAGAGTGATGCTTGTGATTTTCCACCTTTTTGGTTAAATATACGAATTATTATGATATATAAATTCTTGGGCACAAAAAAGGAGCATATGACATGGTTTGTTTGGATATTTTACCTTTTATTTTTGTTTGTTATTTCATTTATAGTATATATGTCGCATACATATAATTGAGTAGAGTCAAAAGCAAGGACGAAAATAATTGCTTGGAGTTGAAAGGGAAAGAGGAGGGAATTGAATGGTTATTGTGTATATGAGACGCTCTCTTTATTCTCGTAAATTTCTGACATTTGGCTTGTAAATGTCTTTTTTCTTCTTTTGAACACACAATCCTTATCAAATAAAGACTTGATCCTGGTTGAATTACTTGTGATTATTTTTCTTCTTTTTTTTTTTTTTTCTTTTTGGTACTTGTTCATTTTGATTGAGTTAGTAAGTAGTTTAATTCAACTCCGTTACTGGGTACATGCATAAAACAAGAAAAAGATAATTTACTAGTTAGATAATTCGATTGATATTAATGAGAATTGATTAACACTTATTGTATGAAAAACTTCCATCGATATCACTGGATTATAAATGTTGGTAGTTACTGATGAAAATTTAATTTAAGCTATGGTTTAAAGATTTTTTTTTTTATCTTTTATCCTTGTAAAATGTTTGCGATTGTATCCAGCTAACTCTTTGGTCCAGGGGCGGATTTAGGGGGCGCAAGGGGTTCACCCGAACTCCCTTCGCCGAAAAATTACACTGTATATATAAGTAAAATCTAGTTTTTATCTCTATATATTAAGTTTTGAACTCCCTTAACACAATTCAAAAGTATAGTTTAGTGGTCAAGAGGGTTCAAAACATTCATAACGTCACAAGTTCAAGTCCCACTAGCTAAAAAAAAAATTTTGAACCCCCAAGATTCTGCCTCCGCCACTGCTTTGGTCATGCGCACAAACATGTCATAATGCAAGTCACCTAACTAGAATTTAAAAGCTAGCATTTCTTTAGAAACTGAAGGCATTTAGCGGTAGGAGAAATACAAGGAGGAGCTAAATATTGGTGTCAATGTCACGATCACTTTGTCGGTCGAATTATTTAAAAGATTGCACTTTGTAATGTGAAACTAGTTGAAGTACTCCTTTCTGTCCACAATAGGTGATTATTTTATCCTTTTATTTTGGTCTAAAATAAGTGTTCATTTACATAATCAAAAAGGAATTAATTTTATTATTCTAAAATGTGCCCTTATTTACACATTCCAATGTATCAAGGTAACAATTAATTAAGGTTAATTTAGTGAATACATTTTTTTTTCTTTAGGAGTTTGTATTTCCTTAATGAATGTGCCAAAACTAAAATGGCCAATTATTGTGGATCGGAGGGAGTATCTATTAATTCCTTTTACTTCCCATTAATCATCATCCACATGAAATGCTGAAGCTACGTTTAGCTTCGAGCTGCTTGTAATTTCTTCAAACTAGAGTTGGTATCCTGCCTTTTTCATTTATTGAATCTGAAATTTGATAGATGAATTAAATGCAAAAGCTAGTTGTTACTTCAAGTTGACGGCATTTATAAGCACCACTCTCTGCACGTTGCTACCAATCAATGCATCCTTCAACTCCACCCTGATCCTCTCGAATATAACAACAACAATCCACTAAAATTTCGCTAGTGATCCTTTAGAAAATAAGAAAAGAAAAAGAATAAATATTCTTTATGGTCGGAGAATAAGCGTAAAATATAATAGTAATCAAATACTACTTACTGTCACACCTCCTTTTTTTACCCGAGGAGATAAGGAAAGAAAGGAGTTTTTCCAATTTAAGTGACATTAATCGAAATGGGATTATTTATTTATTTCAGAGTCACCACTTGGGATAATTTATGGTGTCCCAAGTCACCGATTTATTTTAAATCCCAAATCGAGGAAATTTAACTCCGTTTAAAGTCCGCGAAACCAGAAGACCGGGTAAGAAATTCTGTTAACCCGAGAGAAGGTGTTAGGCACTCCCGAGTTCCGTGGTTCTAGCACGGTCGCTTTAATAATTATACTTGGCTTAACTAATTCTGGATATTTTATGTTCTAGAGAAATTTATGCATTTTTGCCTCAAACCGCTTTTAATTGCTTGATTATTTGAAATTATAGAATTATCTTGAAACGAATCATGCGTACGTGTATTCGTTTTGCTTAGTGTGTCCGGAATCATGTCACGCGTACGTGTACACAATTAATAACACTTTATTATTTTTAAGATTGTTTTATCAAAGTTGCGCAAACGCATACTTTACCTATAATTTGAAAAATCATAATTATGTCACGATACATAATCACAATAATTGATTTGTTAATACACGCGTAACGCATACTAGAGATTTGATTTTTGAAGTTATGAGGCATTTATCCTACTATGAAAAAATTGGACAACTTAACATTATTTAAATAATGAGCCTGTTGGACTCGAACATCTTGCCCATTTATTAGAACATTTGATCGGAAAAATATTTTCAAACCCAATTCTCAATTCACTGATATCTTTTAATTACTACTAATTAATAATGGCCTATATTATGAAGTCATCTAATGACCCAAATTGTCATTTAATACACCACAGGATCATATGGCTCAATACCCACGTAACTACCATTTTCCTAAATATTTCTTATTTTTTTAACTTTCATGAAATACAATTAATAATAATTAAAACCAACACTACATCTCACAGAATAGGAAAACCACGAATCAGAACAATACTCCAACGATATCAATTCACTTTATCATACTTTGTATTTGCAATTCACTCTATACTAAATTCACCTATTTAAATAAACATATTAGTAATAAAATAATTATAAAACAAACATTCATGGTAAATAAAGCAATATTGCACCAGCAAAGTTGATAAACAATAACTGTTTGATTTTGTATATATATATATATATATATTATACTAAAAAAATTGCGGCTTTGAAGAAAAGAATTGTACCTTTTGTATTGAAAAATCTAATTTCTTTCGGTACAGAAGAATCAAAATAGCAAGAAAAATTCCCAACGGACCTTGAATCTCAGCCGAAACTCGCCAGCACCTTCACTCGATCTCCTCCAATTTTGGGAACCTCTGTGCGTGTTTTAATGGGTGAAACTAGAAACTTCTAAGGTGATTTAATGGGTTAAACTAGCAATTTTGCTGAGAAAGGAATGTTTTTTTTTAGCTGATTTTACGGATTTTGCAGGAGGTCATTTACATGATTTCATTTAATGGAGGTGGTAGCACTTTTTGATGGTAAAAGTATCGTTCTCTGAGAGGAAAAGAAAGGCGGCTACTCTAAATTTCTCAATCTTTGCTCCTTCTTTCGTTATCCGTCCGTGACCCCCCCCCCCCCTCCCCCCATCCCCCCCATACTCCTTTTTCTCTTATTTATAAAGAGGATAAAAATTAGTTATCTATTCTTGTGCAAAACAATTATAAGTGGGATGTGGGATTGTGAGTGGGGGGAAGTGGGGAAGTGGAGAATAGGACGTGAGGGGTATGGGAAGTTAGGAGATTTTTATATTTTCTTTTAGAAGTAAAATTCAATTAAAATATTAACACAAAAATATGAACCAACTAACTTTAGACCAAGAAAAATATAAGAAATCTAACTATTTACATATAGTTTAAATAATACTAAGAAAAATACATAGCTTACTTATTAAAATTCTAATTAAAAGAAATCATATATATATTTTTTGTAATTTTTTTTTTCTCTTTACAAATAAAAACAAAATATTCTATAAGTATATGAATACAAATATATAAGATTAGACCTGAAGAAATATTTACACTAAAATTTGGGTGTGGTAAAAAATTAGGTGTTCACACTTACTTTGTGGTGCTGATCAATGTGGACAAAAAGTCTGATAATGGTGGGGTTAAGCAAGTCCAAAGCTGTGAAAGGAGCGTTAAGAAGAGTTTGAATTTAATGTTGAAAAGTGTTTTCACTTAAATTAACAAGGACACAGCACTGGTATTCTTCAACACCCCTAAGATTTTGCTGTTGTAGAGAGTTGACATTTGGAAGACGAAAAGCAAACGTGATTTGAATATGTGATGCAATCTTAGGGAGTTTAGTTGGATCATATTTAATTTCTCCCCCTTGAAAATTTTGGAGAAAGGACAAACGTTCTTTTTGATATATATACTAAAGAATAGTCAATTCTTCATGAGTTTGAAAAAACTAGGGTGCATTAGAGTATTCATGCTCTAAAGGATATTATGAACTTTTTCTATGGCTGTGATCCTCTAAATTAATTACTTAAAAGAATTTATAGGAAATATTCTCTCCACGAAGGAAAAACTTTAATTTTGTTTTCTCTAATATGCATAATCTAAGTATACATTGTCCATATACATTTACGTAATATTAGTGTAAAAATGAAGAGAAAAAGAAAGAAAACAAAAATAAAATAAAGAGTGAATTAAACTCAGAACGGACTCCTACATGTTACATGGCATGGCATAAGTCTCCATCGAACTTGATAAAGTTCTTTTACCTTTTAATATATCAACTTATCAAGTTAATCTCCGGAACCCCCCACACACACACAAAAAAAAAAAAAAAAAAAAAAAGAGGGATCAACATGACTTTTTTCTAGAATGCCATAGAGCAAGATAGGTAGGAAGTATGTATCAAAAGTAAAAGAGCTAATTAAACGGTAGGTATGGATTTCCTTTCTCTTTTATATGTTTTCCCTTTTTCACACTTGAAATGCACTTGTTATAACACCAACAATATTAATGCGCATCGTTTTCACATTTATTAATCTGTTGTTACCCTAAAGCCCTTTCTGTGTTGAAAATAACCACAACAAATTAAAAGGAATTGCTAACGTTCTCATAGCTTTTACTGATAATCTTCTTAGTAAGATACGACAGATCTTGGTGGGAAAGAGTCAACAAAAATGACCTGCAAAAATGGTTAGATATTGACACACACAACAAGAAGTTGCTCTTCTTCTCCTTGCTTTTCACTTATCTAAATACGACAAATTAGTATTAGTACTCTATCAAGGTGCCAAATATATCAACAAAAATGGTCTGAGATTTGTCAGATATTGTTTTCAAAAAGTGGGTGGTAAATTTAAATTCACAACCACAAAATAGCTCCAATACATATTTCTTCATGCACCATACTGTCAAATCATACGATAATTAGTACTTTGGAGTTTTGTCGAAAAATTATGTCCTTAAGAATACTTGGCTGGAATTGGGACACAGTACTCCTGGCCAAGTGCTAGCACCACGTTTGCATATTGCAATAGGAAAGATCGACTAATAGCTCGTTTGGCCAAGCTACAAATATCACGTTATTTTGAGAAGTACTTTTTTTCAAAAGTATTTTTCACTTTTGGTGAGAAACAATTTGTGTTTGGCTAATTAGTTTGAAAAGCACTTCTGAGCAGCAATTAGTGTTTGACCAAACTTTAAAAAACTGCTTCTAAATGTATTTTTCTCAAAAGTGCTTCTCAAAAAGTGCTTTTGGAGAGAAGCTACTTTTTTCTGCTTCTCCTCGAAAGCACTTTTTTCCTTCCAAAAGCTTGGCCAAACACCTTAATTTTTGTCCAAAAATGCTTTTGGCAAAAAAAAAGAAGCAATTTTGACCAAAAAGAAGCTTGGCCAAACAGGCAATAAATCATGCACACAAAATCCTTCGTAGTTATTTTGTAGTAGGGACCGAAAGTGATGGTGTGGTCCAAATTGTTTAAGTTTTAGCTTCTCCAATTATTGAAGCAACTGTATAAGGTGTAATTTGCTAATATCAAACAGCTAACCTAGACCAGACTCCCGAGTGGAGTCTTGCATATATTTATGTGGAAGGGACTTAAAAGTGGGAGCCTATCATTCAATATATATACATTCGTCAACAATGACGGACATGCAAAAGATAGTTTGATAATTCAACCAAAATGTTTATGGCATTGGGCCAAATAACCCACAGCTATTGGTCAAAATAGCTCCAATACATACACTACTTTCCTCAAGCGCGATACTGTTTACAATACTTAGTACTTAATGGCAGTACCATGACCTTAAGAATACATGGCTGGAGTTGGCACACAGAAGATACGGCCTGGCCAAGTGTTAGCACCATGTGCTAATTGCAATAGGAAAAGACTAAAATCATGCGAATAAAATTAAATGCTACGTTATATATTTTTAGGGTTCGAAGTGATGTTTGTGGTCTATATTGTATGAGTCAAAATCCGCTCTTAGAATATTCAGGTCAAGATAACATTACGGGAAGAATCCTCAAATTGTCATTTATTAGAATGGCCCAAGAAGCCTCACATGTCGAGGAGTCGATGAGGGCCCTAGTCAAAGCATCAACGAGGATCAATGTCGAGGTCGAGTACCGACAAGGGAGCTGTAATGCTAGTTTTCAAGATAGGATCTTAAAGAGAATATTTTAGTGGATATTCTATTTATTTGTACTATCAGGGTTTCTTTTGGGAACGTGTCCCGGATAAATAGAAAAAGAAACAGTGGTAGAGGGGCATGTGATATTTTTGTAAGAAAAGCACTTTGATAAAAAGATTCGGTATTCACTCAATACAAAAATCTACTTTTCACTGAGATTCTTATCTACACTTTGCCATCAGATCCGAGAAATCCTCGATTGTTCAAGGATTTGTCTGTTAATCATTGTCAGGTGGAAGGTTCATTTATTCCAACCGTCATTGATTGAATCATTCCCTTTATCTACTTAAATGTCATTTATTATTGTTCATTGAATATTATATGTTACACAACTGTTCTTGACTTTTCAAAGCATTTATCACGCGGTGCCATTGCCATATGCATAAACGCTTATCAATTGCTTTTTCTAATATTAAGATCTAAGGATATAATTATTAACTAGGATTAACCTTGTTTATATAAATTTAATTATTTGAACGAAGAGTTATATTTTTTGTCAAACAATTTGGCGCTGTCTGTGCGGAATTTTTAGTTAAATTTTTAGTTTCTTCTAAATCTAGAACCAACACAGGTCAATAACGTCACGAAACCCAAGACCTATTATCTCTCTGTGTGCAAAACCTAACATGGCAGGTAACCAAGAAAAAAGGGCAAGGATAACAAGTGACTGCCGGACCAACCTCATAAATGTCATCAACGAGAGTTGTGGAACGGCGGGTGAAGACACGACGCCCAATGCGTCCCCTAAGCGAGATGGGCCACCACCCCCACACTACAGCATAACAAAACCCCGTGGTAAAGGAGCCTCTACGTTTGCAGAGGAAGGGGCGCCCCCAGTTGTCAAAAAGCTCCTCGAGGCATGGTTGACTGACACACTGACAAACATCCTCAACAAACCCACTCCAGGCTCGACTGTAGAAACCGCAAGGACTGGCACAACTACTGTTCTTGACTTTTCAAAACATTTATCACGTGGTTCCATTGTCATCCACATAAACGCTTATCAATTGCTTTTTCTAATATTAAGATCTAAGGATCTTATTATTAACTAGGATTAACCTTTGTTTATATAAATTTAATTATTTGAACCAAAATTTATATTTTTGGTCAAACACATGTGTTATGTCGTCCAAATCAAGAATCCAACACAGCTTTCCCTTTAGAACAAGTCTCCAAACAAACCGAATCTAGTTTATTTGAGACTTTTCCTTTAGAACAAGCCTCCAAACAACCTGAATTCAGTTATTACTCAAATAAACTGTTCAAATATGAAGTTCCGGCTTCTCCAATTATGGAAGAAAATATGTTGTTACTGGCCGGTGGGGAACTATATCTATATCAGGAATGAGCTTTAAGAAAACGCACTTGATGGATTGAGTAGAGAGAAGAAACCCATAGCAAGAAGATTTAGAAAGAATACAACTATTTAAAAAAAAAAAAATACTGAAATTCGGTGCCGATATTATCGAAGTGTGTGGCTTTTATACCAAGTTAATAATGTGCCTGACCAATTAATCTAAATTCTTAACTTTAGATGACATTAGGGCGAAATTTTAGTAGTAGTTGTTGTTAAGGTCGAGTATTACGGTTGTAGGCTAGGAGGTAGTTGAGTCTTGCGTTACCTTATTCTGTTGTGAGCCTAGTCTGGTAGGGTTGTCTGAAATAGCTAGGGGCATTGTCGTGTCTTACTATTTTCTCTTTCGGTGCAGGACCTATTTACTAGCCATCATTTTTTTTTTGTCGCATTTTTCCTTATGCATTTTATGTTCCTATTTTTCCTATGATCTCTGTGGTGAAACTAATATTCTCTCCTTTTTGTTTTTCTTATTATCTTGAGCCGAGGGTCTTCCGGAAACAGGCTTTCTACTCTTTCGGGGTAGGGGTAAGGTCTGCGTACATACTACCCTCCCCAGA